GGTGGTCGCTAGCAATGAAAAGTTTTCTCCAAATGCAACAGGACCACGTGGAATAAACTTCACGACTTCACGCGCGAGAGGCGGCAGCCGTGCACCACATTATGTAGCCGGGCCTCGACGAGTTCCTGCCCTCTCACATCGGACCCCTCCCATGCCGGCTTCAACGAAGCTGTGCGGAGCGGAGGGCGTGCCTTCCTTCCACCCAGGTCCCCCAGGACAGGCAGAGTGACACCGTCCCCCTTCGAACGCAGTGTACGCTACACGTCACCTTTGTCGACGCGTTTCCCCTGAACGCCTGCTGACAACCCTCCGGGGCAAATCCGACCGCGAAAGATTCCGTCATAAGTATGTGCATGTGTGGCGTGGCGAGATGTGTGGTGTGTACGAGAGGACGTTTTGAGCTTGGGTTTCTTCACGGGGGAAAATATGGATTTACTGGTCGTGCAAGAGAAAGTACTAGCTATCACGGGTAGTTATTGAAAAACACAAACGTAGAACACACAAGCTACATCGGCAACACCAACGTATCTGAAAGAGCAAACGAAAATATTCTTACATAAGGCTATATGAGCTAATGTTCACAAGCTATTTCAGCGAATCTTTTCCCTTTCGTTAGTGTTTTTCCTACACATTATTCTCGATAGTTAGGTCCGAATAGTCCGGCTCTTTGCCATTCTGTTTGTTCCTCTGCCCCCGGCTGACTCGCACTGGCCGGCAACGGACCGATCCACTCACAGGCAACAATAGCACCAACAATGGCAGCAACTGGTAGCGACAGGCCGAGCTGCTGGAGGCCACGGTATGGCGCTGGCTGCTGCTGGGGGGCTGCGCGGGGCACTCGTGCGAGCGGAACAGACACAACGTATCAGACGGCAACTCCTCCGCGCGCGGGGGAGACGCGGGGGCGGCCCCCCAACGGCCCCCACTCGCGCCGCCGGCCTGGGTCCAGCGGGAGGCTGGCGAGGCGGTATGGTGGGGGCGCCACCCCGGGGGGCGGGGGCGGGGGAGGTATTGATATGCGCCCCAGCCACGCCGCGCGGCGCCCAGTCGACGTCCCGACGCCGCCCGCTGCACACCGCCGCCCCCGCGCTGTCGTCGACCTCGCGCCGCCCCCCGCGCCGCCGCCGCCGCGAGCTCCACTCCGCGTCGCTATCGGCAGAGCGAGGCGGCAGCGCGCTATCGGCACGACACCTCCGCGTCCGGAGCGCGTGCGCGCGAGCGAGTGTGTGTGTGTGCGTGTGTGTGTATGTGTATGTGATCGGTGCTCGCCGAGCGCCGACTGCGGACCTGGGATGCTTCTGACAACCATGCCGCCTCTGCAGACATAGTGTAATGAAACCACTTTATTTTGCTAGTGTCGTATTTATTTTATTTTAGCTTTATCCAAGAGTGAAAATTAAAAAAAAAAATGGCCGGGCAATTTGGTGCCCAGTCACCACAGTTGTCAGGGAAAACGCCCTCGACCGGCAATCGTTCAGTCACGCGACTCTATCTGGGTGGAAATGTCCGGATGACAAATGCGACTCTCGCTCTGGAAATAAACTTCGGGTCCCTGTATTACAAACACAAGCCTCGCACGAACAGACGCCAGCATTGCCCAGCGACGCAAGCTTATTTTACGGTGCTTGGCTTGATAAAGTGAACAGACGAGTTCAACATCATACAACGTCAGTACTACGAACGACTGGAAGTCTTCAGCTAACCGAAAAATCTTACTGATTGAACGCATAGTGCATACAAAACTAGAACTTCGTGCTGAACCTAGAATCGTGGCTGTGATGTGATCCCTCAGTAAATTACGGCAAATGTCTTTGTCATACTTTGTGCACACAAAGTCAAATTTCACTCTAAAACAAATTTCAGTAAAAAATGAGCACTTTATTAGTCTATAGAAAGGTGCACTGACAAAACTAACAAGCAGCAAAATGAATAGGTCGAAATGGCACGTATTTTACCTAATCTTTGGCCTGATTTTGACCTGCATCAGTCACATCAATCTGACGGACTCTTGACGTTTCGATGTTTCTCGGGAACGTTTGTAATAGCGTGGAAATCAATGACATATAGAATATTCCAAGCACCGGGGGAACAGCTCTCCTTTCCCCTTCGGCTACTGTTTCAAAATAGCCAGATATGTGTCATTTTTTTTTTCTGAATTCAGTATGAGGGTAGCCTGCTGGTGAGCGGTCTGGGGGATGGCTGAGTCGAGCCAGGCAGCGGGATGCTGACAACAGAACGCCCCAGGGGGCCCGCAGGGACTCACAGGAGGCGCCAAAAGGGGCGCGAGGGCGTGGCGTTGTGGGGTAGGGGCGGGCGGGGCGGGGTGGAACGCCACAGGCAGCAGGCACCGCCAGGTAGCAAACAGTCATAACTCAGGGGAAAGTTTTCACAGAATGTTAGTCGGTCGTCACGGCTCGGTTCATCTCTTGTAAAGCTCAGCCGACACCACTGTATAACACTGTATATAAGGAAACTTTCTTCTTCCAAGGCCGTTGTTTCGATGCTGCTTCTACACACACAAAAACTCATTACTAACCTTTTAGCGGTTGTAGAGAGTATTCTTGTAGGCTAAACTCCCCCTTTTCGGACAAAACAATTGAATCAAATTTCCGTGCTCTCTCTGGTTTGAAACGAAATTGGATTAGAACTCCTCAGTTTTCAAAGATATAATTCACTGTAGGAGGAGGATTTCCCACACAATTGAGAGTATAGAGCAGGACAAGATTCGCAAAGAACATTTGGTATCGTCAAAATCGATGAAAACGCTGGTTACGACGCAGCACAATAATATTTACTCGTATCCTAAGCGCTTGATTTGTCTCTTGTTTTGTAGAGTGCCGAATTAAGGGTTTATGACTTGGGTTATGAGTGCAACGATACGCATATAATGATGGATATAAGAAACTGTCAACTGCTAAATTCTTAAATTTTAGAGAAACAACAGTTATTACATTTTTTCGTGCTTTATTTTTTTTTAAATCTTCAAACCCCCTACAAAGAAGTAGACCTACCTACTCCCGCGCCTATCACCACCATCAGTGGCGGCGACCCCTGTCGGGCTTGACGTGGCGCTCGTCGCAGCTAAGTAAGTCATGAGCGCCTACGGGGCGGGGTTATCCGCCCGCGGCCTGGCCTAGAGACGTACACGCCTAGCGGCGCCAGCCCTGACCCCGCCGCGCTCGGACGCTCCGCCAGTAAAGCCGTATCCTCTTACCCGGCGCGCTGGTGGGTACTCCTCCTTATTGCGCAGGACTGCATGCTCGCCCCACCCCACCCACCCC